CAGGTGGGCGTCGCACAGGGCGCCCAGCAGCTCCGTGATGCTGCAGCTGCCGCCGGAGACGCCGGCCATGGCGCTCCCTCCCGCTGGGCTGGCGGCCGCGGTGACGCACTCCCGGCCTGCAGGGGGCAGCGCAGGCACAACGCACCTGCAGAAACAAGGACAGGCGCTAAACCAGCGGGGTTCACAGGGGTGCTGTCGCGCATGCCAAAGCCCAGAGCTTCTACATGGTGCTCCAAAAGAGCGCTTCAGACTCTGGGCTTCTGGTGGATAATCACTCAATATAGCGCACTAGTCACGCAGGGTATGTAAAGCAGGTGGCAGGGCAGTTAGCATTGGCCCTGGGCTCAGTTTCTGGGGTGCCGTCTGTGTGGAGCTTGTATGTTCTCCCTGTGTTCACAAAGGTTTCCTCTGGGTGCTCCAGCTTCCTCCCACAGTCTAAGGACATGCTGGAGGGTTAATTGGCTTTTGAGAAAAGCAGCCCTAGAGTAAGTGTGTGTGTGTGTCTGAGTCTGTGGGTGCCCTGTGATGGACTGGTGTCCTGTCCAGGGTGTATCCTGCCTTGTGCCTGTTGCTTGCTGTTCGACTGGGACAGTCTCCAGCTCCACTGTCACCCTGAATTGGAAGAAACATGCTGCACTGCTGTGAAATGACACTACACACACACACACTACATCAGGCCTAGAGCCTTCACGAACGACAGAAACTCTTATGTGACCACTAACTGGTTTCTGAAAAGCACACTGCACTTTGGGTGCATTACAGATATTTTATTCCCCACGGTTCTGAGGCACCTGATGTGTCCTGACTGCGTTTCATAAGATCACTCTAAAAGTTACAATGTTTGCATGTTTAAAAACGGGTTTCCTGAGTTCAAAGGAAATAATTTTAACGTCTTTGTTCAATTACACGATTGTGAGGGGAAAATGTATATAATGACTAGAAAACAATGGCAATTTACCCAGGTTTCCCAAAACGTATCTGTTCTCTCGTATACCCTCTGTTGATGTATGCGCACCAACAAGTCCGTGCAAGTAGGGTACTGTTGCCGTTTTCTGTCCCGGGCAGCAGTACATTCTGATGATGCCGGCTAAATCCAATTCTTTGCTTTTGGAGCCTTAAATCTGAACCTGAATTCTGTAGTGTTAACACAAAAGATGTTCTAGTAATTTCTAAGAAATCGCGCCGGAAAGAAGCGATAAGTCTATGACACAAGAGCACGAACACCGATACCTACCAAGATCCGATACTCACTGCAAGGGCACTCAACATCAAGGTATCAATCAGCACATCATCTTTTGCGCTAAATGAACGATACATTACACTCGATCTTAGCCAAAAGGCCGAGAAGCGAATATGCGAAAGCGGAAATCGTTAAATGAACGATACATTGATCACAATCACTTAACCTGAACAATCGTTGAGATGCATTAACGGAACCCATTGAATCATACCTGCTGTAGTGCTACGATGCTCCGATTTTGGTTACTATTTTACCAATCAAGGTCCCAGTGTGGATTAACATTGAGACGAGACCGGGCACAGCTAGTATAATTTAACTGATCTTCTCATTTCATTAACCTTTAAGCTGTTTTAATGAAGGCAAAAAAAAACAACAACACATTTATTAATACAGACAACTGTATCCACAATCCCTATCACTTTATTTTCCTTAACTACCGCTCAGCCTCCACTTGGCCCGCCCACTCTGAGACTTCATTGGTCTGAAGCGAATGAGGCCGATGTTCGATTGGGTAATAAATGATGACGCCAGGTTTGGGTTTTTTCAGCAATTTCCGCTCTCTTTTCTGCGTTCTCATTGGACGGCAAAGCGCTGTCACTCTTCCCGTATCCCGTATTCCTATTGGCTGATCTTTGGCCTCCCGCCACTTCAATGGCCAGGCTACTTTCGCAACCATTTCCCCCGCAGTGACAGTTATAAGTTAACCCGCTTCCGCCACTTCTGCAAAAAACAAAAATCCTATGTGTTTGCATAGCAAGAGCAACCTCTCTACCAGCTGCTGTCAGTCACTGGTTTTAGCGTTGAGGAATTAATTAGTGTTAGCAGGGACAGGTATTCACAAATTAAAGCAGTCGTTTAGATTCGCAATAATCTTTTTTTTAGGAACAAGTAGTAGGTTTATTCCATGCTGAAAAGAAGGGAGAAAGAAAACACAACGTTTCGGCCGTGAAGGCTTCTTCAGGTGTGAGAAAGACAAGGCAGTAAGCAAAGGTAATGTAGCGGGAGAACAAAAGCTGAGAGAGAGGAGCCGTGTGCAGAGAAAAACACCTAACAATGGGTGCAGGGCCGAATTAGGCCAGTACCCACTATTGATAAACATACAGAAAAGAGTATTAAAGTATTGGCTACACCTAAAAAACAGCGACCAAAATTCCTACCACCACAAAGCCCTGCTGAGCCCAAAACAGAGCCCCCTGAGCCAGCTGGTCCTGAGTCTCACCGACCTGAGCCACACCAACCCTAACCAGCCTCAGGACAGCACTGCTAGAGCACCACAACCCAGACTCCACCACATCACAGCACAGACAGCAATATCTCACACACTGGGACACACACACACAACATAAACTGGAATGCTACAGAACCCTAAACAGACAATACACACTAGCCGAATATTTGACCAAGATAAGAAACGGCAAAAAGAAACAGACCCTGACGAAGTACAGGCTCAGTGACCACAACCTGGCCATAGAAACTGGG